TTTTTTTTTTGTTGGTACTAGAGTTCGAACTCAGGGTTTCACACTTGGTAGGCAAGCACTCTACCACTTGAGCCACTCCACCAGCCCTGCTGGGGATTTTTAAAATAATGCCCATCATGTTGAAGAAGTCCTATTTTATTCTTAGATTTCTGAGTGTTTGTTTGTTGAGGGGATTGAGTTTGAACTCAGGGCTTTGTGCTTGCTAGGAGGTGCTATGGTTATTTTGGAGGTAAGGTCTCACTTTTTGCTCAGGCTGGCCAGGACTGCAATCCTTCTTTTTACACTTATTGCAGTTGCTGGAATGACAAGTGCATACCACCCTGCCTAAATGTTTTTGCCAGGGGTTGGCCTGGAACTACCATCTAGCCTCCTATCCCATCTACCTGGGATAACAGGTGCATGCCACCATATCTAGCTATTGATTGAGGTGGGGGTCTTGTGAACTTTTTGCCTGGGCTGGTCTTGAACCAAAATCTTCCAATCTCAGCTTCCCAAATAGCTAGAATTAGAGGCATGAACCACCAGCACCTGGCTTTCTCAGTGGTTTTTATCATGAAAGGGTATTAGATTTTGTCAAGTGCTTCTGCATCGGTTGAGATGATCATGTGTTTTCCCCCCTTTGTTCTGTTATATGAGATAGTATATCAATTTTCTTATGTTAAACCATGCTTGTATTACTGGACTAAATCCTACATGGTCATGGCGTATAATAAGATGCTGTTGGGTTTGGTTTGCTGATATTTTGTTGACAATTTTGGCCTCTATGTTCAATAATGATGTTGGTCTATGGTTTTCTTGTGGCTCGTTTGTGTGGTTTTGGTAATGCTGCCCCATAGAGTGGGTTAGGAAGTGTTCCCTCCTCTTCTCTTTTATGGAAGAGTTTCAGAGGGTTGGTGTTAATTCTCCTTTAAATGTTTCGTAGAATTCACTATGGAGCCATATAGTCATGGACTTTTCTGGTTGGAAGGTTTTTAATCACTGATTCAACCTGTTTACTTCTTATCCCTTTTCTCTATTGCATTACCACTGTGATGATTAGTAGAGAGCAAGTGTAGGCATCGGGCTCAGTGACATAGTAAAAGAGTCCCTCTGAAGTTCTCTAGAAGCAAAGGAGCTGTGTGAAGTAGGAGTTGGTGAGGGGGGAGACCAAAGTAAGGAAAGAGAATCATGCAGGTAGTTTAGTGGTGGTCATGGAGTGAGACATGGCTGGAGCAGCATTTGATTTTGGAAGGAAGCTTATCATTGAGGGCACCCATTGGAGGTAGGGTCAACTGTCTCAGACCTGATGTGATCAGGGCTGGCTCCTAGGGCTGGCTAGATCTGGGGCTGGATGGGCCAGTGTTTCTGCTGGTAAGAACTGTCTGCTCTCTGGCCATAGCCTGCCCCTCTCAACCTGGACAGTTTCCATGGTCCTCTTCATTCTCATCTTTCTCAGCACAGTATTCAGTCACTCATTCAGCAAATGTTTCTTGAGTACCTGCTGTGTACCAGGCACCTCTAGGCCTAGGGAGACAGCAGTGAATACCTTGAACCAAGAGCCCTGCCCCAAGGACCTTCTGTCCTGGTGAACTACACTTTGTGGTGGAAAATACCTTCTCCTTTGTCCTGGGCTTGTTGTGATTTTTTTTTTTTTTTTGCCATTGATATGTGGGTCTTTGATTGAAAGGGACAGGGGAAAGAAGGTGATTGCTGCTGGGCATCAAGCACAGTGTATGGTGTGTTGGGTGCTGTGCCAGACTATGCACACTGGCTCAAGGGGTCCTGCACAGCATCTAACTGTGTTGTGAACTTCAGGCATGGTTTCCCTGTTGTGAACTGGGTGGAGAAAGGCATTTCACACATAAACACATCCCTCCAGGAGTAGAGGAGTGGGGCAGTGCCTAGAACTAGGACAAGTTGCCCAGATGAGACATGGTAAGCTGCAGGTGAGCTGGCATTGTGAGCTGGCAGTGGGTGTTGCTTCTCCAAGTAAGGTCAGAGAGAAGGAGGAATGAAAGGGGAGTGTGTTGATTGGGGTCCGACTTTGGTGCAGTAAGGGGGAAAGAACAGGTGGCTACAGGGAAAAGTCATATCCATGTGCAAAGCTGCTGTGGAGCAGAGGGAGGCAGGCAGGCTGCTCCTGCTGGTAGGAAGGGAGCAGGGGGTGAGATGGGCTGCTGTTGACCCTCTTACACAGTCAGCTCTATATGTCTGCTGGTTCTGCCTCCACAGATTCAACCAACCTCTGACTGAAACTGTTTAAACAAAAAGTTGTGTCTGTATTGAACATGTGTGGACTTTTTTCTTTTCACTGGTCCCTAAACAACATAGTATGACAATATATAGCATTTACGTTGCATTGGGTATTCTAAGTAATCTAGAGATGATTTAAGCACACAGATGTGTGTAAATTTCATGACATGCTGTGGCATTTCATGGAAGGGTCTTGAGTGTCTGTGGATTTCATGTCTACAGAGGGTTCTGGAACCAATCCCCATAGATACCATATTCCTTTCATTACTTGTACTTCTTCACTGCCTAGGCAGTGGACTAGCACCAGACCTGACAAGCAGAGCACCAGGAAAGATTTCTTGAGCTTTCCCAAGCCTAAGTTATTCCCAGCAGTTCCCATTCACGTCCGCTCCTACCTCCCCAAGGACTTGCTTTGTCCTTGGCGGGGAAGACCAGGCGGTTTCTATATTGGGAGATGAGGAGGACAGGGATTGAATTGGACTGAACCCTGGGGCCCAGCCTGTGACTTCCTTGGCTGAGTTGGCTCTGTGATTATTTCATGGCCTACTTGACTGGCTGTTAAAGCAGAGCCCCTGGGGGAGTGCTGGCCACAGCTCTGATTTGGGTGGCAACGGCTGTTACTAATAATAAGTTGGACAGCTGAGATGACACTGTTATTGATGGAGAGGCCAAATTACATTCCTCTGAAAATCCAGTGGCTGGCTTCCTGGTGGAGGGAGATCCCCTTCCTAAGGATGCCCTGGGCAGGGCTTCAGTCTGTCCCACAGAGCCTGGTTGGAGAATGCCAGTGAGTCAGTGAGCATTTATTGAGTGCTGGCTGTGTGCCCTTGGCTGTCTGAAGTATTCTCAAGGTGTGTGGATGAGGGTATCTGAATGGTTGCAGCTGCTGTTCCAGGCTGGCCTGAGTCACCCTGCTTCTGGGTGGAAAAAGAGACCTGCTCTTTGCCAAGGCTGAAACTTTCCCATTGGAAAGTTCAACAAGTCCCTAAGAAGTGAGACCAGCCTAGCGGGCGCCAGTTTGCCACTGGCTGATTTCTGTTCCTGGGCACTGTCCATGCAGGAATCGCCCATCCAGTGTGTTACTCACAGCTGAGGATGAATCATAGCCCTTTTCCTTACCTTCCGTGTCAGCCCTGAGGCCATGAAGCATCTTCATTCAGGAAACACACACTCATTTTCAACAGTCATGCAAAAACACCATCTCTGGGAGGACAACTGAAGTCAAGAA